TTTTTTTTGGGTAAGATTCATATGACAAGATTTGTTTTTCAATTGTTTTGCCAAGATTTTTTTTTTTCATATAACCCATTATCATAATTGTAATATCTCATAAAAACAGTACCAAATAATGTATAATTCAAAGTAATCACATACGAAGGTGATAAGAGCAAAAGGAAAAATTGTTCATAAACTAAACTACATCAAAGAGTTAATCACAACTCCCTTGCCCAAGTAAGAGAAGAACAAATGCTTTTCTCATAGCACCATCCAATGTCAGGAATGTTCTCTCATCACTTGCTTTCTCCAAAATTAGCCGCAGTGCCTTAATTTGGTCATTAAGAGCATCCGCAATGATGCTCTCTATTTCTTAGCTAAAATTTAGCTACAAATATAAGAAAGCTATTTTAGGAGCTCTTTAAAAAATTTCAACTCCGACCATACTCCATAATTTGGAGAGTCATAAATGCTATAACTCTTTTTTGATTGGTCCATCTCTATTAAAAAATAAAACAAAAAATAGTTAGCATTAAATAAAGGTTTGAAATACTCATTAAATAAGGCAGCATTAAATTATAGGGAGCCACTAGGAGTACTTTCTCTCTCCTCAGATTTAGGAGCTCCTAGAGGACTCCCTATTTTAGGAGGTGGATAGGGAGCATGGTTGGAGTTGCATTGTTACAATTCCTCCCTAAAATTTGTCTAAGGAGGTGGTTTAGGGAACCCATTGCGGATGCTCTAATAGACAAGTCCATCTTTGCCAATTCAGCAGCAATGTCAGGTCTTGGTTCTGATCCTTTCACCAAACTATTTGTTATAGTTTTCAATTGGTCAACAGACTCAGAAATCATCTCACCAAATGCTTTAGCCATTTCCTTTTGAATATCAGTATCTGCATTTCAAAGAATCATTCCAAGCAAAACCACTTTTGTTAATCATGTCAAATATTATCCCATACAATTTTTTCCAAAATCTCATCTTGGACTCAATATGTGGGACTACCCTTAAATCAGTATTGGGAAATTTCTCAGCCAATGATTTTTCAATTTGGGTCATTGTTCCAGATTTAAAGGAACCATTATCACATCGTAAACCACGGTTGACTACATCCTCAAGTATGGTCAATAATGCTTCTTCCTCATGTGCTTTCCACACCCTTCTACTTCCTTTTGATTGACTAGACTGTCCACTCTCCATTCCTATAGCCAATATAGACAATATAATTTGCATATATATAATTAAGAAAAAAAAGTTGGAAGATCAAATAAAATAACTTCTACTTATCAAAACAAATAGTCTATTACAAACACATCCAAAGAGTCTACTAAAAAAAAATATAAATAAATTATATGAATTCAACTACAACTTAATGTCTGTTCCTATTCCACTCATCATACATTTGCATAGCCAAATTATTCCTCCATGCAGTCCATTGATCTGAAGGTTCAATAGTGCTAAGTACATCACCATCTTGGTTAGTTTCCCCATTTTCAGTACCATTCAATTCATTCTCCAATGGATCAATAGCCATCTCGCCACGAATAAGATTATGTAATAGGCAACAAGCTGTAATTATTTTACATTGTGTCTCAATTGGGAAAAATGTTGGACTTCGCAAGATACCCCAACGCATCTTAAGAAGTCCAAAACACCTTTCAATCACATTTCTTGCAGCAGCAAGCTTCATATTGAAATACTCTTCATGATTATTAGGTGCCCTTCTATTCCTCCATTCAGATAGATGATATCTTGTACCCCTATAAGGAGCCAGATATCCTTGACCATTTGTGTATCCACCATCCACAAGATAATAACATCCTAACAATTAAACAAATATTATATTATTCTAAAAAATTTAATGAAGCTTAATATTACCATAATGAAACACAATAATCTAATTTTACCTGTAGAAACTCTTAATCCTGTTGGTCTACTAATTGCATCTCATAACACCCTAGAATCAGATGCAGATCCTTCCCAACCAGGGAAAACAAATATAAATTTCATGTCATGAGTACAAACTCCCAATACATTGGTTGCAACCTCCCCCTTTCGTGTTCGATATCTTGGTTTATCTTGTATGTCATCAATTCCTATAATGCTATCTAAATAATTTGACCGAGTTGCAATCCTAAAAAACCTTTGACTCCTAATGGCATTCCGTTGTTGGCGCTGTTGTTCCAAATTGTAGTTTGTCATGAACCACATCATGCACAAAGCCATGATATGCAAGAACCACAATCTAATAATAAAGTATGCCACAATCTTTCTTTCATCCATATCTAGGCATAATAAAAAGGAAATTTTTTTAGTAAAAGTAATATAAATAATCATGCATTAATTAGATGTTTAGCAATATAATTACACAACATGTAAAATTGAAATAATATAATAATAAGTAGAAGTCTGTACATGAAAGAAGACTACAAAATAACATCTCGCTTGCATAAACCTAACTAGAATCAACAATCTGTTCAAAAAATTTCCTAGCATTCTTTATGAAATCTTTTTCCTAACAATCTGTAATAACAGATGTAATTAATAAAAAGTATGGCAAAGGGTGATGGTGCGAAGAGTATAGGTGGTGGGCCTCCTTTTGTTATTCTCCTAGCTGCCACAGCCTTTCAGTTTTGGATGTGAGAACTTGATGGAAACAGGGCATGTAAATAATTTTGTATTTATGTCATATTACCCGAAAGCTTGCATAGGATTCGAAATATAGGAGGAAGAGAAGTTTGATATAGGATACGCTGGTTAATTCATACTAGCCAATGAAAAACATAAACAGTACGCATAAAATGATGAAAAGAAAAACAAATCGAAGACAGCAAACAAAACAAAACAAATTCTCTCTCTATATATATAATATATTATTCTTTTCAATTGTTATCTTTGTTTCTAGTTCTCAACAGAGTGAAAAAGTGGAAAACAACAAACAAAAAGCAAAACATGGACAAAGAAATAATTCATAACCTAATTTCCACAAAAATTTAATAAAAGATGAAATATATAAAGAAGAGAGAAGAAGCATATTGGAGAGAGTATGAAAAAGAGAGAGAGAGGTGAGAGATGAATACCTGAAGAAGAGTGAAGAGAATAACCTGTAGAGAAAATAGCAAAGAAGAACCCTAGGGAGAAGAAGATGAAAAGAGCGTCTGATTTTTCTCGTAGAACGCGTGTTCTTTTTCTCTAGCCGTATAATTAAGCGTGTATTATCTAAACCGGAGTGTGTGGGTTGTATTAGTTAGTCAGGTAAGGAGAGTATTAAAAGCCCAACCCGTATAAAATAGTCAAGTAATTAAATAATACAAGTTGACACCAAACACCTGACATGAACTATTTACTCCTATCCGAAGTCTAATACGGTGTACCAAACGAGCCCTAAAAAGGTGAGTGGACCAAAAACAAAGTTTTCTGAAAGTACATAAGAACGTACTAACCCCACTATAAAAACAGTTATGAAACTAAATCATTTCTTTTATATATACTCGTACTGAAATCAATGCATTTATATCTATATATATAGAGTCAATCACACATTTGATCAAACATTAATTCCTTGAAAGCATTGAAATCAACTTTTATCTACCATTTATGTGTACCCATTATTTTACGTCAATTCCTTATAACCCGTCAATTCCTTTAATTTTCGTCAATTCCTTATAATCTGCCAATTCCTCTTATCACCATTGGTGACACGTCCTCGCAGGTCTCAGTGACGCGAAGTCAACCCGAACCGCAATCCTCGCGGGATTCAGGGGACACTTGGTCAACCTGATCCGCAATCCTCACACCACACGGTTCAGGCGTCCCTGAAACTCGTGGGGCAGTGTCAAGTGTGCTGACCTAACCGAAGGCAACAGAATGTCCGTCGACATCATTATAACCGAAGGCAACATAATTCTATTTCGAAGGCAACCTTATTTCCGAGGCAACATTCATTATACCGAAGGTAACCCTAATTAATCTTGGGTACCTTTGGTGGTTTCTAAAAATATATATATATAATTCTAGAAAGATTTAATAAATACAAGAATTCATGTTTAACTTAAAACTCTGCTTCCATTCGACCTGATATTTAATTAGAATTTCATGTTCCTATATCCTTTAAGGATATCCAACTCGGCAGCATATAAATTAAAATATTTAAAAGCATATATTAAACTAAGCAACTCTATGCTTTGAATAAAACTTATTCAAGATCAAATAATGAAATTAAATTGCATAAACTCATTTATAAAAACAAACAGTCCACTCACTGTTGGTCTATGCTAGCTGGACCTTTCGAAGGTCCCTCCTGCGGGTCAGTCTATACCCAGGTGCCTGAATAATCATCATAATATTTTATTAATAAATCTGCTTAATAATATAATATTAAATTAAATCCCTGAGCCCCGACTCCTAAAAGTGCGTGCATCTACTTAAAGGTCATTCCTATGCCCACATTAACTTTCCCCTCAATGGGCATGGTTTAGAAGTAACTCGGCACTCCAATTTCTGATCCGATAGTTCCTAGAGGTTCCAATATGCCTAGAACACATGTCCCGAGAGTTTGGTCTCGATCAGACTGTCGGATTGCTCACAATCGCACGATTGGACGGACGGGCGGTTTTCCGCAATCCTAGCCCTAGGGTTGGCCTTTTCAGAGTATTCAGGACTCCCACGATCCGTCTGATCCTACACGATCCTGAAATTATCTAGACCAACATATTTCAGTCTGACTACGATCCAACGGCCCAAGCGTATTGAACCCGGAAATCGCGCAATAGGCGAGATCCATTCGGAGTTCAAACGTTGTCTGAATTGAGATCCGCAAGTTCCTACGCACTCGTGATGGCACAAGGATCATTCTAGGACCGAGAGTGGTCCCCGACACATGGCCCACGCGCCGGTAGCACGTGGGTGTGCATAACAAATTCCGGCGGCCGGAAATTCTCCAAACCACCGGCCCAAACTCCTACCCTAGGTAAAACACCTAATTTGGAACCACTTTTGTTCTTGGACGAGGGCCAAAAAATGGCCAAAATCGGCATCCCAAAACCGGCAGAACTTTGAATCCAAAATCAACCCTTCAAACCTCAAAATTTCTCAAAACCTACCCAACCATCAGCTAGAACGTGAAAAATAGATGAATTTCCATACCTCACTTGGAGAGAGAAGTCAGACGTTGGTCTTTTTTTTGGCCAAAATTGCCCTTCGTGTCGTCTCTGTCTAACTGCTGCTTGGGTATGAGGTGGGTCCCACGCCTGCCACGTCAGCATTTAACGTCTGACTTTGACGGTCAATGTAACGGCGGGTGTCAATTGGTTAGGATTCGAAATGTTGGGTAAGATATTGACTTAAATGAAATCTTAGGGCCCATTTCGATACTGGCACTAAACCTGTAGGGACTAAAGTGTAGTTAATCCAAAAAAAAATATTTGATCTTGCAAATTACAATTTTGCCCCTCAATGTAATTTGCTCATATTTTCTTCGTTAAAACCCCGATTCGAGCCCACCACGTGTGTGCAGACTCGTTTCGTCGAGCTCTACACAACGGTACAAGTGGATTTCCCAAATTCTTTCCTGGTAAAAAAGTCAACTTAAAACCTAATAAATTATTCTAGGGGTATAGTTGTCTTTTCTTCCATTAAATTAATAATTAAAAATTAATTAAGGTTTGGGTTATTACACATATAATACTATTTAGAACTGATACTCAGACATAGCAATACTAAGTTACTAGGCATGAATTAAAGATAAACAATACATTCAAACTTTTTAGAGAAGTCTTTACTGAAACCAATCCCAGCTATCCAACCCTGAATACCTTCCTAAGTCATTGTAACCATTTCAATATTCCCAAGAGGTGAAATGGTCTCCGATCACAAATCCGGGAGTCCCAATAGGTTCAACTCACTCTTCTAAACCTACCCTACAAGTTTGGTCCTAATCGGACAATTGGATTGATCACGATCGCACGATCAGACAGTTACGATTTACCTAGCCCTAGGGTTCGCGATTTCGGAGTATTCGGGACTCCGATTCACAATCCGTCAAATCTTATACGATCCTAGAAATACAAGGTACAACATACGTGAATTTGAGTTCGATCCAACGGTCCGAACAAATTGAACCCGAAAATTGCACAATAAGCGAAATCAGTTCAAGGCTCAAACAATATCAAAATTAAAATCCGAGCACACCTCCGCGCTCGTGGCAACACGAAGATCATTGTTGGACAAAATGTGGCCCCATCGCACTGCCCACGCGCCGGCAGCGCGTGGGTGTAGAGTAATTTCCGACGGCGGAAAAACTCCACACCGCCACTCACCCTTCCTACCCTAGCTACTACACAATGAGGGGATCATTTTATTCAACTGTGAGGACGTCCAATTTGGACGGCAACTGGCTGGAATTTCAATTTGAAATCCGGCCAAAACCTAGGTTTCAAAATTGAATTCCAAAACACATTTATTGTTCAATTCCTACACAATAGGCAGCTAGAGCGTGGAAAAAGAGGCAGAAAACTCACCCAATTCTCTGGAATTGGGCGGCGGTCGGAGTAGCACGACGGCAGGAAGAAGCCGACTCGAACCAGTCAAAACTGCTGGTAAATCTCAAGCTTTCCAGTTGGGAAAAGGGGTGGGTCGTGATCATGGTGTCGAGACGATGTTGGCCCTTGCTGTGGCCCGAGCTAAGAGAATCGAAGAGAGAAAGAATCGAAGAGAGAGGGAATCGGAGTCGGGGAGAGAGAGAGAGAGAGAGAGAGAGAGAGAGAGAGAGGAGAAAGAGAGTTGAGTGTGCGTGAGGAGAGAGAAGGAGATTTTCTGATTTTTCTAAAACTAACTTTGAGTTACTTACGGTTATGCCACTGAGACATTTTTTTATCTCTATCTCTTCATTACAACTCCGATTCAAGCCCACTACGTATCTACGGACTCGTCTTGACGTGCCCTACGCAACGGTCCAAATAGAATTTCCAAATTCCTTCCCGATCAAAAAGTCAACTTTTAACCCTATTAAAATAGGGAACTGATTTTCCCACTCCCCTTTTCTCCACTTACACTCCCTTTTGATTTTTATTATTTTTTAATTAATTTTGGTTTTTTTGTTTTTTGTTTTTCCTATTCTACTGTTGGCCCTTGCTGTGGCCCGAGCTAAGAGAATCGAAGAGAG